ACCCTGGCTCGTGGCCTGCGAGTGAGAAGCTGGCACCCAGAGTGTCTGCCGCAGGGCTATTGAGTAAACCCTAAGTGTGGTGTGTAATGCTCCATTATTTTAGATAAAAACACTGACCTGTATTCACAGACATGAAAAGATGTTCATGATATGCCAAGTGGGGGAAATCCACAGTTTATGGAGAATATGGTTCCTCTTTAGGGTCAAAGTCACGTAAAAATAATGAGGATTTCTACCAACTTACCGCACTGGTTGTGGGTGATAAAGGGATGGCTGAGTTTTGTTTCCTTCTCTATTTTCATTTTTTACATTTATTTGCTTGAATTTTTTTTTCTTTTTGTATTTAGAAATTTATATGTGCTTTCTAGTGGGAAAATGTGAAGGTCCCCTTTGGAATATCTTTGCCCTGACCAGTGGTTGGGAATGTCTACCTTTAAGCACTTTCAAAGAGCTAAAGGAAGAGATGTGGTTATCACTCTATTAGGCCAAGTCGCTTAGCAAAGGCTAGACCTTGTGCTGAGTGCAGGTGCGGGTTGGTAAGCAGAGCGCTCCATGTGGGAACATGCAGGGTGTGTGTGTGTGAACGTTGGGTCAGGTCGCAGGGCACGGGCTTCCAGAGCCCACTTCCTAGTAGCCTGCCCTTGCTCCTAGAGCATGGGCAGTGCAGGAAGTTCTGCTGTGCTGAGGCTGAAGCAGGACTGGATGCCGACTGGATGCTGAGCTGCAGGGAGTGAGGCGGGGACCTTCCCAGCCCAGCTCCCGGGCTCCCCGGGAAGAGGAACATCGCAGGGACACTGTATCATGCCTGGAGAGTGAATTTGATTCACTGAAAGTCCCTCACATGTAGTTACATTTAACGTTCTCCAGTCGTCCATATTTTTGTTTCTTATTTTCTGCAGTGCTGGGGTCAAACCCAGGGCCTGGCCCATGCTGCCCGGCAGGTGCTCCGTGCTGGGCCGCACTCCTGCCCCTCCAGGGGTCCTTACAATAGTTTTAAAGCTGTCTCCCCAAATCCAGGCCACAGTCATAATTCTGTTGTTGCATTTGCTTGTTTAATTGCTTTCCTCGCCATATAGATTCTAGAACAATCTCTTGGCCTTTGTTTTAGGCCAGAGTGTTCAGGGTCTCACTGCATAAATTGCACTTGTAGTGATCCTTCTGTTTACAGCCTCCCAAGTGCTGGGATTACAGGCATGTGCCTCCACTCCCAATCTCAATCCTGGGCGGGGCTGGTACAGCAGGCTGAGGGATCGAACTCCCAGCCCCTGGGCCTGCCTAAGCAGGCACTTTAATCCTCTGAGCTATTTGGCTGGCCCTTTTGGCCTTTGTTTTGTCTGCTGTTCATGATGTTGCTTCATTTGAAATGTTCAGGCCAGTTATCTTGAAGAATCTTCATGTTCTGTAGGGGCCAGGTAGAGTCCTCATGATCAAACTCCAATTAAACAGTTTGGTTGGGTTGCCCTGTAGGTTTGTTTGTTTGTTTGTTTTTAATTTCATCACTTTAGGGGCTCCTCATGGCCTGTTGTCCCACT